AAGAACCAAAAAAGTTTAAGTATTAAAGAAATCACAAATTTACTAGTTTCATGTAATTCCTTAAACATCTACACCACATCATCCTTAATGACATGCCAGGATTCGTGAAGGAATTTCATATTGGAAAATACCCGGTCCTGGAGCTTTATCCCCATCGCATGATTTCAATCTCTCATAAATCTCTTCTTCAGAGAATTCAGACTCTAGCCACAGTCTATTGTCCTCTGTTAGCCTTATAAAATTCAAGCCATTAAGTTTAGGCCTTTTCTGGAAGTCTTCCTCATTCAACCCAGCAAAATGAGTGCGGGCAGTAGCCCTCATTTCATTATTTCCTTTAATTCTAGCATTGTCAATCCACAACTCCTCAATGTAATTGCATCTCTGATGGTGGCTGGCCAATGAATGGAAGTATTTGGTAGTTCAGTCCCCATCCTTCAACCAGTTCTCTCTGGCTTTTTGTTTCTATGATTGCTCCTCAAAAACATCTATTAGCCAATTCCATCTTCAGACAATCTCTCTTATGATTTTGTGTGTCATCCAAACCACTAAACTCATCCTTCTTGTCCAACTCCTAAATGTCCTGCATCAGTATATTCAACTCCTCTCCATTTTTCATCCTTTCCAATTTCATCCAAGATTTAATATCTTCCTTCAAGGTTTTAAGCTTGCACGTTATCATGTAGTTGGCTTTTCTATGGACAGTGGAAAATTTTCATTTTTCTTCACCAAGGAGCCGGAACTTATCCACCCTTAACTGCTTGTTTTCAAGCCTGAAAGGGGTAGGTCCCCACTGGACACCCTTGGCTTCCAAACAGATTGGAAAGTGGTTAGATATGGGTCGTGGCAGGAACTTCTAGCAAACCCCTGCAAGCTTTAGCACAAGATTGGGAGATAATAAGAAATGGTCAATCTGAGACCAGTAAGAGTTCCTTATCTTATTAAACCATTTCCACTGCCCACCAACCAGTGGCAGATCTACCAGCTCCAACCTATCCATCATCTCATTAAATTCCGTAACCCCAGTAGCAGAAAATAATCTTCACATTCCTCCCTCCTCAAAACCCCCCCCCACCCCCTCCCCCAACCCAATTAACACCCCATTTCTATTTACAAACTTCCAATTCCCTCCGCAACAACCCCATTTCCTCATTATTACCGCGCCAATACACCCCTGTGAACAACCATATCTCCCCTCCCCATATCCACACATTTGAATCTCTCCTCCCTCTAAAAAATTACAAGCTCCCCGTCACTCCTTTAGCTAGGATATAGTGTCACCCAAGTCTCTAACCCTCCACAGACTCTTCATGACAGCATCATCACATGATTCAAGCTTGGATTCTTGAATATAGACAACTTCAGGCTTCCATTTGTTAAGACACCCTCTGATAATCGTTCTTTTTTTACAGTCATTAATGTCCCTCACGTTCCAGGACACAATTTTTCCAATCATTTAACTACACAAAAATACCCCCCCTTCTTCTTATCCTCCTTCCTTCAACAATCATAGTTGATCGAAAATTCTAATCTTTTCAACTCTCTAGGAGTTCCCTCACTCAGTTTTTTCTTTCCTTTTATCACAAAAGAACCCCCTTTCTTTTTAATAGTTCGTCTTTTGTAAATCTCATAGAAGAAAGAACACACTTGATCTCTTATGCTATCAAAAGATACACTCATCATCCTACTGAGTTTCTGCACATTCTAGAAGACCCATACCAAGCTTGCCTCTTCCTCCTCGACTTCCACTCCCGCACCATTACAACTCAATGACAACATTCTCTCGCTATTAGGAGCCTCCCCGAGGCCAAGGCTTGAATCTCTTCTTCTGCTATCAACATCACCAATTTGTTGTTCGCCAAATCAACTGACTCCACTTCTTCAACTTCACTATCAACCACCTCCACCAGAGCTTTGCTTAGAATGGGAGGAGACGACTCGCCAATGCTTAGTTCTAACTCCTGGATTGAAGCCTCCATCCCTATTTCCTCTCCTTTCTCCATCATCTTCTTTTCTTCCTCCTCTATCAGACACTCTACATTCGGCTTCGAGTCTTGCCCTAAATTCAGACCTGATGACTCACCTCGAATTGATATACTATTGACGGGTCTCCACCAACCCTTCTTTGTTGGACTTCGCCCTCGGGGTCTCTCTATTCTCAGGCCTGGGTCATGTTTAGCAACCCATTTTGCCTTCTCCTCTATAGAATAACATCTTGATCCACTGGGCCCATGCATTACAACATTCATTGGGCTAGCCCTTCTTAACTCCTTAAATCTTTGAAGACCAGAACAATGTCCAATCCCAACTTTTCATAAATGTCTTTTTTGCTCTTTAGAAGTCACATGCAAGGCATTGAGGGTCCAACCCGCCTCCCTTGTGGGTTGAGTCTGCCCTACCTGACTCTCCGGATTGCCCCTGGACTAGATTCTCGAAGTGTAGGATCTGCCTCCCCCGACTTCCACAACAAATATATTGGCACCGAACAGTGAGGGCATTGAAACGATGCTTTCCACATACTCAATTAAGATTGTTTCGTGCTTCCCTCATCTTCCTTCTTCCCAATTGACTTCGAGTTGGTCTTAGGGTTAATGACAAGTCACTCTGCAAGCTCGAACGCCAGCTTCATGAACATCCACTAGCCCCTACCCTCCTCTCCTTCAGGAATAAATATCCTATTTCCCTTCTTCCCAAAACCAAGTACATTCCTCGCTTGTTGCTATCGAAAGATATCCACAGTTCGTGATTTCTTCCCAAGCGATGTTTTGCCCATAGGGCTCTCCCCTTCTTTCGGTAAAAATCCTCAAAGGCGTCGAGCAACCAATTGACCTCCCCCTCTTCCAGAGAAATCGAAATCTATATCCCTTCCCATTCTCACAAATTCTCAAACCATCCGACCTCCTAACTTCATAGATAAAGTCAAACGACTTGCGTTCTATCACTAGGAACTTCCTTCCATTCGGGAACATCTTATGCACAACCTTACTCAGTCCCAAAGATTGCCTAGAGGCCGTCGGGGAATATCATCACGGTCCCTCACGCTCGCTCGCTCAGAAAGAGCAAGAGAGAGAGAGACACTCCCATAGAGAAAAGCGAAAGGCTAAAGACCATAAAAGATGCAAATCCTAGCAGTAACTAGCCGCGCGAGAAAACAGATCATAGATACAGTGGACTTTGACATCATTATTAAAGCCTTAGTCCAACGCATCACCAACTAAACAATTGGATCCAAACAACTAATCCTAAAAAATGTAAACTCAAATAATCAATAGTATGTGACTTAAGTTCTTATATGAAATTCAACAATAACATATCTTTCTAATGTGAAATTGTGGTATAGCACATCTAATACTAAAACTGTTTTTCTTTAGCTATTTGCTCCTGCATCACCAATTTTCTAAGCCACACCTCTAAAAATCTTTAAACAATGCCAGGTGATCTTTTTCAATCTTCATGAATTTCCAAAAGAAATGAAAAAAAAAAAATACCAACTAATAACGTACATGCATGACTTATCCAGGTGAAATTATCCATCTAAAATCACAATAATGTTGCCAATTCTACCAAAATTGGTCCCTACCGACTTGAATAGCTACATAAAAATTTATGCAAATATATCTGGGTGCCTAAATAGATTTTTTATACTTCAAATTCCAACATGTTTCTCAAACAAGACAAGAATATGCAATTCTTTGATGGAATATGAAAATCTGTTACAGCTGCTTGCCACTGACTGTTTCTACTGGTGAAGATATGCCTTTGTGTGACTTTGGAAAAAAATGGGTCTTGCTCTGTGTCTTCTTTCTACAATTTTCTATGCATGAAGAATGTTGCTGTCGAATGCCTGTTTCCTGCCAAACAAATATGGAAAACAAAGGCCCCCCCTCGTGTCGCTTGCTTGGGAGGCTTGCCTGGAAAAGATACTAACTCTTGATAAGCTGAAGAGGAAGGACTGTATTATTGTGAATGTTTGCTACTGCTGTTTGAAGGCGAAGGAAACTTGCAACCACCTTCTTCTTTGGTGTCCAATTGCCTACAGATTGTGGACCTTTGTGCATGGTATTTTGGGCATTAATTGGGTCATTGCCGAGTTGATGAGGGATGAGATTTGGGCTTGGGATGGTCTTAATGTTAAAAATAATTTAGCTAATGTGATCCCTTCAACGGTTTTTTGGGTTTTATGGAAAGAAAGGAATAATAGAGCTTTTGAGGGTGAGGAAAGTAGTTTTGCTAGATTAAAAGAGGTGGCTGAATTATTTTGGGTCTATCCTATTAGATCACGACATTATATGTGATGACAATTTTGGGAATGTCGTTGAGTCACCAATTTTATTGTAAATCTTTTGTACATGGGTGGTACCCCTCGTTTTGTTAGTACATTGTCAATATGCAGCTTACTTTTTATTTAAAAAAAATAACTTTTTTCTATAACCTAATAACCTAACAAGCTGAATATATTAAGTGCGAGACAAATAAAAAAGAGACTTACGTTTTCAGATCAAGAGATGATATCTCATCAATAGGAGTCAATCTTTTCTCTGATGATCCTGCAAGCAATATAAGAAACCATTAACTAGATATTCAAGCCAACATATACATACTAACTAGACGAAGGGTATCAGGCAGAAAAGTGCAGAAAGAAAAGAAAGGTTTTGGGCCAAAACAAGGATTTTGTTTGTTTATGAGCAGATCCCAAGATTCTCAAAATATATGTCCCAAGAAATTAAAAACCAGTGAACATCAAGAAGAGTATAAAACTAGAAATTAGCAAACATGCAAGAATGACAGAGTAATACCAATGGAGGCTGAACGAAAGCAACTAGAAACGAGAAACGTCTTAATTTTGCAATCACTCATAATATACCTTCAGATGACTCCGGTCTGTATCTGGCTGTCCTATATTTCTGCAGTTCCAAGAAGCAGTATTCCCAAGTAAAATAAGAATCAAATACACAGAGATTCACATGCTAATGTATTTCATGAGGAAACTAAAGTCAAGAGAAAGACAAGTATCCACCTGCAAATGGCTTTTCACATGATAAATAGTCAAGCCTTCAACTTTCATGAGCTTAAGGACACCCTTAGGAGTGGCTTCTGTAAGTTAAAAGACAAGGAAGAAATCATAAACCTATAATGTAAGAAAAATTATTAGGCAACACCAGCAGAGAAACGCACTTTCACTACCACCAAGCTTACTAACAGCCTCCACAAAAGCTTCATGAAGTTCTGGTGTCCAACGCATGCGTGGCTTTGATGGTCCACTATTTGCCGAGGAAGTGGATGTAACAACAGCACGACTTTCTCCAGAAGGAGGAGGAAGCTGCTGAGAAACTTGGGATTGTGGTACAGATACATGTATAGATGGTTTAGGCACCTGGTATGCCATCTGAAGGATAAACATCAGACCAAGAAACTAGACAAATCGTAACAGAAGGTAGTATTTTACTTTTAAGGCTTTCAAAAAGGAAATTGCTATGTAAGGACCGCCACCTTTGGTTCCGTATCTGCAATATTGTTATCTATAAGAAGCTCACTCCAGTTAGAAGCTAAGGTATCATCATCGGTGATTAATTGGTCAGCCCATTCCTGCCAATCACTTTGTTTACAAGGGTCCTCGGATGCTGCGACACTGCTGCAACTACTGCTTTCTGTTTTAGCATTCTGGACGGCAACATTAGCAGGAAATTCAAGAAATCCTGGAAAGTGATTCTGAACACCAGGAACTATTGTGTTCTTTGATGTAGTGACAGATGTTGTAGACTGAAGCAGCTCAGATGAGAAGACTCTGTTAATGGCAAGCTGCTGTTTTAGTTGATGGTTGCAGATGAAAGTGTCTTCTCTGGATGCTTTTC